CTCTTCCGAGAGGCCCTTCGGTGAAGGGGGGGGCTCTTCGGAGCCCCCCCCCTTCACCGTACTCGTTGATCAATACCCTCCGTAGGAACCCTGGGCATACTAACACCCACCTGGCCGCACTAACAACCAACGGGCCACAGTAACATCTTATCTCCTGAGATGCCCAGACTGCCCTCTCGGTTCGCCACGGACGAGGGCACAAACGCCTTGTGTTCCCGAGGCCCCAGGTAGCCGAGAGCCGAGAGAACGACCACACGCGCACGGCTTCGCGATTCCGCGCCTCGAGCCCTTCTCATAGGAGGCGACATCCGAACCCGATTCCGAGTTTCTTAATAAGCGTCGGGGGGGTCACCCCCGCCGACAGCCCCACATCGACCCCCGTCGCGGGCAGCCACCGCGCGTCGAAGGCGCTCCGACCCCCGTCGCGGCGCGACGACGAGGCGAGGTTGACCCCCGTCGAGGGGGTACCCCCCCACGCTTATTAAGAAATCCAGAAGACCCCCATCAACCATCGACTCCTCTGAATCGATGGGAGGTGGCGGTAGGGTTCGGATTTCGCCCCGTGTTCGACGAACTCCGAACCCTACCCCCGCAGCCCATCAAGCTATCTAGATCGTTCGTTGGCGAGGGTAGGGCTTGGATTTCGCTGCTGGTGTCGGGCACCGGGGCCAACAATAGGGACGGGCGAAAGGGGGGGATAGCAAAGGGGGGGTTGAGAATCAGCTCACGTAGCTGATTTTCCCGGCGCCCCCCGGCGCCGGAGGCGGCTATGTATCGAGGAGTGGGCCCCTCGGCGGGGCCGAAACCAGCTGCGTGCAGCAGATTTCGTAACACCCCCTTTCCCAATCCCCCCCTTTCGTCCGGCCCGGAACAAGGTGGCAACGACCCGCGTCAAGAAGCCCCACCCTGCAGGGGTGATGGGGCCGGAGGCTCTGGGGTCAGGGCGCCGCGGACAAAAACGGTTCAGGGCGCGGAGGTGCTGGTCTGCGACGGCCTCCAAGAGGCACAAGGAGAGAAAACAATGACGACGGACAGCGTGCGCCCTCGATCCTCCGTGTGCTCCTCCTCCACTCCTCCTCTTCCACCTCGTGCTCCTTCACCTCTTCCTCGTTCGTTCGTTCGTTCGACACCCATTAAGCGAACCACAACAAGAGAATTCAATGACGTGTCTTCTGACTTGTGCAATCTTCGCCCTGGTGAGGGCCATGAGATAGCTAAACTACATCACAGCTCATGCTTCGTGCTTTCACGGGAGCTCTCGAGCGCACTGGCTGATGCACCATCCAGCGGTGCCAGCGAGGGGGCACGGCTCTTCTCCTACGTGAATCAAGGCTCATACCATTCCTCCTCCTCCTTTTCCTCCTCCTCCTCCTCATCCTCCTTCTCCTGCTTTTCCTCCTCCACCTCGTGCTCCTGATACTCCTCCTGTTCCTCCTCGGACTCTTCCTCCTCCTCCTCCTCCTCCTCCTCCTCCTCAGCAGGGCCGCCACTAGCGACGGGAAGAGCAACGGGCGAGAGAGAGAGAGAGAAAGAGAAAGAGGGGGCTGCCCGTCCCTTTGCAGGCGGAAAGGAGGCGGATGCATCGAGGGTCCGTGCTCGTCTCCCCACGGGCCTCCGCCCGGTGGCCTTCAGAGGCCCGCAGAGGCCGACCTCCGCGCGAAGAGAGACCCCCGCGGAGGTAGAGGCAGCGCGCGGCAGAGCGGCTGGGGCAGTCGGGCGTCCGAGGTGCCAGAGAGGGCGGGAGGGAGGCCGGCGAGGAGCACGACGAGGAGGGGGCGAGAGACCACGGCGAGGGGGGGGGAGGAGGAGGAGGAGGAGGAGGAGGAGGAGGAGGAGGAGGAGGAGGAGGAGGAGAGAGGAGGAGGAGAGGCGGAGAGGCGGAGAGGCGGAGAGAATGAGAGGGGAGATGAGAGGCGGAGGGCGGAGAGGCGGAGGAGGGGGGGGGAGGAGGGGAGGAGGAGGAGGAGGAGGGGAGGAGGAGGAGGAGGTTTTGGAGGAGGAGGAGGAGGAGTTGGAGCAGAGGTGGAGGAGGAGGGGAGGAGAGGAAGGAGGGGAAAGGAGGAGGAGGAAGGGGAGCAGTAGGAGGGGGAGAGGATGAGGGGGAGGAGGAGGAAGGAGGGAGGAGGAGGAGGAGGAGGAGGAGGAGGGGAGAGGGGAGGAGGAGGAGGAGGGAGGAGGGAGGAGGAGGAGGAGGAGGAGGAGGAGGAGGTTGGAGCGTCTGGGGTGGAGGAGGAGGAGGAGGAGGAGGAGGAGGAGGAGGAGGAGGTTGGAGCGTCTGGGCTGGAGGAGGAGGTGGAGGAGGGAGTAGGAGGAGGTTGGAGCGTCTGGGGTGGAGGAGGAGGAGGAGGAGGAGGAGGAGGAGGAGGAGAAGGAGGGGGGGGACCAGCTCAGGGGGGATGAGCGTCGGCCTGGAAGCGGCGAGGCGATGCGCGTGGCCGACGGGTCGGTGGCGGGCCCCCGAGGGCACGAGCACGCGGTCCTCGTAGCCACCTGGCTCCTGTCGGCTGACCATGGGCGGCCAAATGTCGACGCATCCCTCCCTGACGCTGCCCCCTGGGCGGGTGCGAGTGCGGCGGAGGCGGAGGGCCGCTGTCCTCCTCCTCCGACGGCAGCTCGATGTCCAGGAACGTGTTCTTGACAGTGACCTGTGCTCTCCGTTCTCTCGGCGCCAGCGCCGTCGAGAGCCCCAGACAGGCCGCATCTCGCAATATTCGAGGCGGCCAGGGCCATGACACCGGGGCGGTGGGCGATATCATGGCCCTGGCCAATGAGATCCCCCCTAGTCATGACGCCCATCAGACCCTCCTGAGCCTCGGCTCCTAAACCAGCAGCGCTACTACAGTGTCGCATCGTTTCAGCTACAGGTTCCACATGCACCATTATGATAGTCGGGTCGTGGTGGGGGGTCATCTGCTACGAACACTCCCACCCTGCACATGCACAGCCTGACACCTTTCTTACTCTAGCCGCAATTGGTTCCACGTGAGGTTGTTTCAGGTGCCTGTCGAAAGCTCTAGCTTGTCAGCTGTCGAGCCCACATGCCGAAGCAGCTGCACCATCAGTCTGAGCCTCGATACGAGTAGATGTCCCTCACCGTGCTTCAAGAAGGTTGCTCCGTTGAGCCTGTCTACCTTGAGTTGGTAACCTCATCTCCGCCTGCATCGTTCTTCGCCTGGCTGCTACCAAAGTTCGACCGCCAACATCTTTGCGACTTAACGAGGTGCACCAAACGCAACGGGTGCTGCACATTGGCCGCACCATGTCGACGTAAAACAATGGAAGGAGAGGGCACGCCTCCTCCTGGACCTCTCCCCCTTGCCTCCCTCCCTCCCTCCCTCCCCTCCCCTCCCCCCTGCCCTCCCTCCCATCCTCCCTTCCCCCCTTCCCCCTCCCCTCCTTCTAATTTCCTGGTGGCCCCCGAGCCCAGACGTAACCCGCCGAGGGCCGAGTCGGTCACAAGAGCCGACACTCCGAAGCTCTCGCAGGGCGCAGGATGCAGGGAGGGGCCAAGGCCCTCAAAACGCCGTCCACAAACCTCCGAAGCTCCCCCCCGCCACACACAAACAAACACACACACACACACACCAGCCCTGCGACCACCTCGAACAAACGAAGATGCACATCTACAAGTACTCAATATGAATACTATTCTCCCTCTTCCCCTGATGACGGTTTGAAAGTGTCCGACCCCCCCCGCGTACTGTCTTTTTGCACACAGGTTTCCCAAGAGTTGGGTTTTCGCATGTTTTTTTGTTTAAAAAACTGCTCTAGCTGAGGCGCCGGCCTCATTTTCGGGCCCCGCTCGTTTCGAATCGTGCTCCCGCTGCAGCGCTGGCCTCATTTCCGTGCTTCCGCTCGTTCCGAATCGTGCTCCCGCTGCAGCGCTGGCCTCATTTCCGCGCTTCCGCTCGTTCCGAATCGTGCTCCCGCTGCAGCGCTGGCGTCATTTCCCGTGCCAAGCCACCGCATGCAATGAATGCTAGGTTGATACTACGCTTTGCGGTACTCTTCTACGCCATGCCATGCCGTGCTCTACCATGCATCGCGTGCTCATTTCGGGATCATTGCCCTGCTCGACATCCGACTGTGCAAGTAGAGAGGGGATCTGCGCCATGGTAAGGGATGGGAGGTGGGATAGGATGTCAGATATGACTCGAGCGCACCTAGCTTGACCTCCTCCCCCTCCCCCTCCTGCTCCTGCTCCTGCTCCTGCTCCTGTTCCTGCTCCTGTTCCTGCTCCTGCTCCTGCTCCTCCTCCTCCTCATCCTCCTCCTCCTCATCCTCCTCCTTTTCCTCCTCCTGCTCCTTCTCCTCCTCCTCCTCCTCCTCCTGTTCCTCCTCCTCCTCCTCCTCCTCTACCTCCTGCTCCTCCTGCGCCTCCTCCTCCTCTTCTGCCTCCCCTCCTTTCCCCTCCACCTCCTCCTCCTCCTCCTCCTCCTCCTCCTCCCCTCCTCCTCCTCCTCCTCCACTCCTCTCCTCCTCCCCCTCCTCTCTCTCCCCTCATCCTTCCTCTTCTGCCTCCTCGGTCCCGCCTCGTCCTCGTCCTCGTCCTCGTCCTCGTACTCGTCCTCCTCCTCCTCCTCCTCCTCCTCCTCCTGCTCCTCCTTCCTCCTCCTCCTCCTCTCCTCCTCCGCCCCCTCCTCCTCCCTCTCCTCCTCCTCCTCCTCCTCCTCCTCCTCCTCCTCTCCTCCTCTCATCCTCCTCCTCCCTCCCCCTCCTCCCTCCTCCCTCCTCCCTTCCCCTCCTCCCTCCCCCTCCTCCCTTCCTCATCCTCCCTCCTCCTCCTCCCGCCTCCCTCCCCTCCTCCCTCCTCCATACCTCCTCCTCCTCTCCTCCCTCTTCTATCCTCCCTCCTCATCCTCTCCTCCTGCTCCCTCCTCCTCCTCATCATCCTCCTACTCCTCCTCCTACTCATCCCCTCCTCATCATCGTACCTCGCACTTCCCGCTCCTTTTGTTTTCCTCCTCCTCCTCGACCCTTCTCCTCGACGTTTCTTCTCCTCCACCTCCTACTCCTCCCCCTCCCTTCCCCTCCATCCCTCCTCGTCCTCCTTATTTAGTTCATTATGTCATCCTTTCTTTCGCAAAACCTCCACCTCCGCATCCTCCTCCTCCTCCTCCTCCTCCTCCTCCTCTTCCTCCTCCTCCTCCTCCGCCTCCTCCTCTTCCTTCTCCTCCTCCTCCCTCCCTCTTTCCTTTCTCTGGGGATCTGAGGTTGGAGGATGAAGAGGGCCCCTCTTGGAAGCACCCCCTCTGCGGCCGCGACCGAAGCTTCCGACGTCCAGAGCGACGGCGGGTCCCGTTCCTCGGGCTGCGGCGGGGGGGAGGGGCAGGCGGCCGGCCAGGCCAACAAGGCGGGTCAGTGAGGATGGATGGATGGGAGACAGTCGCGTTCATCCATAGTCCTCATCCGCCTCCTCCTCCTCCTCTTCTGCCTCCTCCTCCTCCACCACCTCCTCCTCCTCCTCCTCCTTCTCCTCTTCTGCCTCCTCGTCCTCGTCCTCGTCCTCGTCCTCGTCCTCGTCCTCGTCCTCGTCCTCCTCCTCCTCCTCCTCCTCCTCCTCCTCCTCCTCCTCCTCTTCACTGAATCCGTGACCCCGGCACCAGACCCATTGTAGGTCTGGCGTCACGCGGGCCAGGCGTATCGGGCCGGAAGCCAATTATGACTGATTAGGGTGCGTGTCCATCCGGGGGAGGGGGGTCGGCACCCAGACGGGGGGCGACATCCCGCCCAGCTGCCCGCGATAGGACACGCACCCCCAACAAGCAGTGCCAAGACAGAACAAACACAAAAATGCAATGCAGGGGCGGCCAGCCAGAGGAAGGAGGGGCGGGTCGGGGGGCGGGTGGGGGCGGGGGCGTCGGAAGTGGTTCTGGGCAGCGCGCTGCTGACGTCGGACAGTCCAGCGCCAAGATGGGCCGCGGGGGCGGCAGCGTCATCGAGCGGCGAGTGGCCAGGCGCAGGGCGGCTCGAGACCTGGATGTTGAGCGGACGTCGCCGCATGGAGGCCAGGACTGTGCTTAAGGGCGGCGGCGCGGGGGCGACGCAAGGAGCTGCTGAGGTAGGCGTGGCGCGCGCCGCCGGCACCTGCACCTAGCAGGCGCTGAGGATCATGTCGGCGTTGCCCACCACCAGCGTGCGCTGGATGCGGCGCCACGCGGTGGCGATTACAGCCGACCTGTCCACGTCGGGCAGGTTCTGGTTGCAAAAGCAAACGAAAGAAACGAGTTCATCCGCAGGCCGCCCTCCCGTTTCCAAGACGGCTGGGACCAGCTCACCTCCCGACGGAGGGTACCGATTTCGCTTGACGCCCGCCGCCTGCGACGCGGCCAGCCCGTCGTTGTTGGATCGTGCCCACCTGCGCTCGCGGTTGTCAGAGTGTGCGCACGTGATAGACCAATCAACATGGATAGGCTGTCCGGCGGCGGCGTCGCTGGTAGCCGCGTCGAGGCGGGCTCCTTCCAGCTCCCCAACGGCAGCGTCCACGCGGTCTCAAGCTGGGACCCGCTTTTCGGTCACCGCCACGTGTCCTGTCGGTGCCGGGGGGGAGAGCGCGTTCCAGTCTCGCAGGCTGTCGTGGCGGTTGTCGCGAGACCCCCCGCAGCCGCATTTCAAGGGGTGCCGGCCCTTCGCGTCCAGGGGCACACCGCATATCGTGCCGTCTCGCTTGCGGCGTTGGCAGGGCGCCGATGGCGTACAGACGTCAGCGCGGAGGCGCTTGCGCAAGCCCAAGTGAAAGTGGGCGTCATGGATGGGCGCGTCCCCCTCCTGGCGTGGGAGGAGCCAACTCCCCGCCGAGGTGCCGCTGCTATCGCGGAGGGCAACCCGGTAGTCCTCGCCCAAGGAGTTCAGCAACTGCGTCCGTCTGCGCGCTGAAGCGCGTTTGCCCCAGTAGCCTTGTAGTTTGGCTCGCGGCTCCGCCAAAGAGCTCCCCCCAATCAATGGGGCATTCTTTCGCACCTTGGGCGTCGAGCTCGGCTGCCGCGCTCCTCGTGTCCCGGGCAACGCGGGGGCACCTCGACAGAAGACCTTCCAAGGAAGTGGCCCCGAGACAAGCGGCGACGCTGGGGAGAACGAATGCCCAGCTGCCCAGGTAGCCGTGTCTCGAGCTGACGGAAAGGCGCAACCCCCGTCGGACAGCCCGAGCTTTGATTGCTCCCGCTGCGAACCGTCAAATGCGAAACCCGCAAATTCTTCGCAGGCGCCCCAGAGGAGGTCGCCCAGCTGCCCCGCCCGCAGCAGGTAGGTAGCGCAGCCCTGCGCTCACGTGCACAAGAGGGTGTGCGCTCCCTCGGCGGACAGCCCATTGCCCCGTAGCTGTCGTCAGTGCTGCAGGAAACGCTGCGTCTTTCCCAAGACTTCGCGTTTGTCGGAAGTGCCGTGGACTGGGGGCCGCCCGTCGTCGCCGCTGACGTCGCGGTCGTACCGCGAAAGAGGGTTTCCGAACACAGTGAGGGCGTCGACCCGGCGCGCCTCTAGTTCCTGCGGCAGCGCGGTCTCTCTGGCTGGCGTCCACGCCTGTGTCTTGTCGCGGTTCAGCGCGAGCACTGCCGCGGTGAGCTCCTCCTCCACGATCTCGCACGCACGGTCCGCCAAGGCAGCTGGCACGACAACGACCACGTCGTCTAGGCACGAGAAGATGCGGGCAGAGGGTGCAGGTGCGTCAGGCGCGCGTCAGCCCAGGACAGGGCGTCTGCTATGCCCATGGCGAAAAATGCCGGGGAGAGGGGGCAGCCTTGGTCGACCCCTGTCTGCGCTCGTACCCCCAGCGCCGCGCCGTCGCGTGGCCATAAAGCGTGAGTGGTCTCGCGGGCCAGCCAAGCACCTGCCACGCCGAGAAAGACTGGGGCACGCCTGGCCACGGCGTCGAAGACGTTCTGGCGTGGGATACTCCAAAGCCCTTATAATGAAGACGAGAGGTCCTTTCAAAGCAGTCCCCTGGGACTGCTTTGAACGCTGCAAGGCAGTCTTCAAAGCAGCCCCCTGGGACTGCTTTGAACGCTTACCTCGCAAGGCGACATGAAGGGCAGCAGCTGCAGGATGATGATGGTGATGGCGATCGACGAGGAAGATGGCGATGACGTCAATGATGATTTGCCAACTTGTCTCGACGAAGCGCTGTCCGCAACTGCGGCCACAAACCTTCTGCTGCAATTGCCCGCATCTGCGGCCGCAAACCTTCTGCTGCACTTGCCCGCAACTGCGGCCATTACCAACGTGTCGTTTCGTAGGTCCAGGGAGCGCGGTCGTTCCACGGCCCCGCGTGGCCCGCGTTCTGCGTCTGGTCGGGCATGCCCGCCCGCATGCGATTAGGAGGCGAACCCTCCGTGGCATTGTCCGCAACTGCGGCGCGATTATCACCCCACCACTTCTGCTCATCAGCGCGCCATCCTGCCCAGCCCGGCCACCCATCAGCGCGCCACCCCGCCCTCCACTCCCTCGCGGGATCCTCCGCCCTCCACGCGCCGCTTCCGCTGGCGCCAGAGGACCCAGCCGCAACTGCGGCATAAGAGGGGGTCGGGGCACGACCAAGAAGCTCAAACCCCCAAACCGGGTGGTGAGATACCAGCGGCGGCTCAGCCTCGGCGGCTCTCCCCGCAACTGCGGTTCCCATGTGGGCAGTATTACTCTGGGCACCCTTTCCCGCAACTGCGGTGTCCTTGTCGCCTCCGTTGTTGCTGCCCTTCTGGCCGCCCTTGCAAGCGCCTTTCTCTTGCTTCCGCTTCATTTCCTTTTTCATTCCTCTCAGCAAGCTTCTCTGGCTGTCTGCGACCCGTGTTGCGGGTGAAAGCCGCCAAGGGGAAGTGCGCTCCGTTTTTTGCCTTGCCGACGGAGCCGTTCCAGATCGCGTCGCCCAGCTTGCCCTGCCTGACTCGGAAGGGGTTGGGCACCCACTCGCCCCGTGCACGGCGCGCCATCTTTTGTTCGAAATCCGCAACTGCGGCCTCGGAGGCGTTAGATGGCATCACGGAGTCACGAAGTTTGTCTGCGGCACAAGCCTTCGGCAAGTAAGTCTGCCGCGTCTTCCCAGGGCCATTCGCGTAATCGAAGGTGTGGAAAGAAGCGCCGGGGGAGTTTGTAAAGAACCCGCCAGGGCCGTCGTGCAGGGCGTCCAGGCCATGCCGAAGCTCGTATCTCCCAGGGCAACTGATGAACAGAATTGCCATGCTGTCTGCCCTGGGCTGGCCGCCTGCTGTCTTCCAGGGGGCCCGCGCAGCGACGCCCACCGTGACTCCGCGACTGCGGCGCCAGGACACGAGCTGGAACATGCACATGTTGAAGTCCCCCATGCAGACTTCGACGTCCCACTTCGCGACGTACTCGGCAAACCACTCGTAGAATTCCTGGAGTTTCTTCGGGCCCCAGTCTTGGTTGGCCAAATTGTGGTGGACGTGCACCGCCATGACGTTGAAAGATTTCCCCAAATGGGGCAACGTTTCGTCCAGTGCGATGCGCGCAAACATCGCCCTCGAGTACTTGTTGTGCCCTTTTGGCGCAGCCACCTCCACAACTGCGGATTTATTCTTCTGCGGCTTATCCTTCTCCTTCTTGTGGAAAAGCCTCATAAAGTCCACGTGGCCAATTTGGCCGCCACTGCGGTCTCTGAGGCCCATGAGGAGGGTCCCCGAAGGCTCCCCGCCCTTGACGCACAAGTACTTGTATCGGGGTCGATTCATGAACTTCTCGTCCGCAACTGCGGCTGTGCTCTCGCGTGCGTCGCCCTCCCCAGGGATTGCCCTGCAGCACTCGTCGTCGCACTCGCAAAGGGCGATACTTTGGGCAGGATTGGCGTGGAGCTGCGCGAACTCGTCTCTGCGTTGCGCAGGCTTCCCTGCGCTCTGTCCGAAGTTGGCCGCGTAGAAGCCGGTGTGCCCCGCTTCGCCTTGCGTTTTCTTTTGCCAAGCCTCGTAAACAGATCTCTCCTTCTCAGACACGCGACTCGTCTCGATGACATGCACCCGCCTCCAGGTCCGCGTCTTCGACAGCACTTTCGGCATGTAGGGCTCGCTGGTTGCCGCAACTGCGGCTTCCGAATCTCCTTGTGGCTCCGCCTCGTCAGCGGAGGCAGCCGAGGACGCGACGGTACCGTCGCCATCTTGCGTCCTTTGGTCGTCGCCATCTTCCGCAACTGCGGCTTCCTCGTCATCTGCCGCAGCTGCGGCTTCGCTATCCTCCACGTGGATGTGCGCAGTGTTAGCGAAGCGAGCTCCGCGCGGCATCGCCTGCGACGCCAATCCCGGATGCGCAGGCGGCCACATGGTCGCTGCGGGCGGCTGCGCGGGCGCCGCGTCGAGCCTCGGTGG